GGCGACGGAGGCCGCGCAGATCGCGCTCATGGCCGTCGCGCTGGTCGTGCTGCTGCTGCTCGGCAACCGTCTGTCCACGTACGGCGTCTTCGAGCCGACGGCCGTCAAGCGCGGCCCGCACGGCCCGCTGCTGCTCGCCCTGGCCCCGCTGCGCACCGCCGCGCTGGGCGCGCACCCGCTCATGCGCCCCGTCTTCGCCGCCGCGCGCGCGCGCGGCGTCGAGGAGGAGACCTCCGTCCTGGGCGACGACCCCGCCGCCATCACCCGCGGCGAGCTCGTCGGCCTGTACCGCGGCGACGTCCGCCCGTTCATGCGCGCCAGTCCGGCAGAAGTCGGCGTCGTGCTCGACACGGGCGACAACCGCGTCAACGCGGAGACGTGCGCCGCGTGGCAGAGGCGCTTTGATGCCAAGGAGGGCCTGCCCGACGTTCGCGTTAGGATCGTTGCCCTGCCGGATGCTATGTCCGTCCCGCTCACATGGAATGGCAGGCCATCGGAATGGGTCGCGCAGTGGAGGGCCGTGAGGAAGCTCGTTAAGCACTGGCGACGCCTGCCCGCGCGGGAGAAGAAGGGCGCCCCCAACTTCCTCATGCAGACCTTGTCGGAGAGGAGGGCCAGAGTGCTTTCCGTTATTCCCGTCGATTTTACCAAGTCCGTGTACGTCGATTGAGCGTGCCGAAAGGGCCCGCCGCCCGCCGCTAGATTCGCTTTACCTGCTCCCATTTCTGCGCGATCAACTCCCCAAACGTCAGGTCCTGTAACCGTCCCGCCCCGTGCGCGTCCCCGTCGTTTACCTTCTCCCCTTGGTTTTTTAAAAGATACAGCCCGCTTGTCCTCTCCTTCCCGCCCTGCGAGAGCCTAGGCACGCCCGTGCCCAACTCGGGGTAGTGAAAGTACACAAAGCTTGTCCTCTCGCTCTCCCCCAGCACCACGCGATGCAGGGGGCTGCGCAGCCTGCCGTCCGTGAGCAAGCTCAGAAAGTCAGAGCAGTTGACCACGAGCGCGTCGGCCATGCCGGCCACGTCCACCCACCGTCCGTCCACTCGCACCTGCAGCGCCGCGTCCGCGCCCGCCGCCTGCGCGATCAGCGTCGCGAAGCCCCAGTCCGTGTGCTCGCACGACCCCGTCATTTCGGGCCGCGCCCCGCACGCCGCGTGGTAGTGGAACGCGCGCAGCAGGGAGACGGTCTCGCCGCGACGCGAGAGCTCACGCAGGTCCGGCGCCGCCCCGAACGACGAAGGCCACGCCGCCAGTAGCGCGTCCACCAGCGATGACATCACGACGCCCATGAATGTGAACAGCGCGTCGAACGAGGCCTTCATCCCCTCATCAGTGCTGCTGCTGCTGCTGCTGCCGGAGGGGGGCGTAGGCCACACGTTTCTATGTTCCAGTATGTTTTGGGGGGAGGACATGTGGTCCCAGGCGTATGACCAGGAAAAGGCTTCCTTCCATTCGAATGTCTCCGCGCCGGACTCAGCGCCGGTGCCCAGGTAGCCTCGCGTGACTCCTGGTGGGAGATTTGGTGCGATGGCCGTCTGCTTTTCGGCGAGGGGTCGTTTGAAGAAGCGGTCGGCTTCTTTAAAGGCTGGCTGGGTCGCGCGGTCGAGCATTTCCTTGCTGGCTCCGTCGAATCTTAGGTAGGCCATTCCTGGCATAGTGAAGGCGGCCAGGAGCTCATTTGCTGCTTGTTTTCTTTTAGCCTTACATTCTTCATTTGGTTGCCTTGCTTCAAAGAAGCATCCGATGTCCACAACTGGCAGCTGTGAACTTTTCTCTACCATCCTGTGAAAAGTAGCCGCCCAGCAGAATGGGAAAGGCCGGCTTTCGCAGAGCCTACTGAATCTTGTGACAGTCTTACGGCACGGTACAGTAAGCGCTTGTAGGTGTGTAGACGAAAGAAATGTGTGCCGTGAGAACGAAAGAAAAAATGGAAAAAAGCAATCTCAGCGAGAAGGCCCTGACTTCATGGAGACATCCCTCATTTCATCGCACTTTTATTTCCCTTAGCAGAATCAATGTGTTCCAATTTTATTGCTCTCTGCTGCTTTGAGCAGCAACCATATTAACTTGTTTAACTGCAAATCTCTCACCTAAATTCGCTTTCACAGATATCCCAGACGTATATCAGTCTGCATTTCCCGATATGTTGCATTCTATCACTTCAAGCATGACCTCATGGCGAGAGGTGGAAGACAGGAAAGAGAGGTATCCAAGCCGTCTTCAAGAACGAATTTAGATCCTCGCACACTGAAATGCGTACTTGAGCTGCAATACGCATGACGATGACAACCGGGTTCAATACTCAAGCACTCTTGCCGACGCGACAAGCATAGCTAGAAAGCTCGAAGGTCTGTGCATGCCATTCCGTTATGCAGAGAGCTCCTTAATTCGTGTCTCAATTTCAGCGAGCTCCTTCTCAAGCGCTGAGCCAGAGGCCAACTTGTCAAGCTGTTCTTGGTTCAGTTCTTTCCCTTCCGCTTGATTTGATTTCAGGGCGTCTACTGAACGAAGCTTTTTCTTCAGTTTCTTGGCAAGCTTTTCGCCCGCCTCAACAGTCTGTATATCTGCAGGAGTGCTTTTCACGGGCGCGGCAGCCTCCTTAGCAGCAGCCTCCTTCTGAGCCTTGACCTGACGCTCCCTTTCCTTCTTTTTCTGTTTGGCAATCGCTGCCTTCGAAGGACCAGTCGGAAAATCCGCAGGGTCCATTCCGGGCACAACCTTCCGTCCGGTCGATGACCTCGCAGGCGCTGCAGACAACCCGCTACCGCTAGACAAGAAGGCTGCTTTGTCCACTTTGCCAGCCTCCACATAGTCATGAAGAGTTACGGATGATGCCATTCCACGGCTCCCAGGTGGACGATACACCCCCGTCTTTTCCTTCTTCTGTGATTTAGTAGACCCTGCGGATGTCGGCGCTTGCATTGGGCCACCTATCATGTCGTCGAGAGCAGTTTTCGGATCTGGGAACACACCCCGCAGTGCCGGTTTGAAGACTACTTGGTGCAGCAAAGAGTCCTCCATCTTGTGTTCATGGATCAACTGCCCGTCAATCCGAACGACACGAAAGCAATTGTCAACACGTAAGCGCGGAAAAGTCGTCGCTCCGAGGAAGTACCGCGAGCACGGTGACCACCCATGCATCGTTGTGCACGATAGCTGCGCCCGACCAACCAGCGTCTGCTTGTTCTTATCCCAAAACTCGACCGCCCCGGCTAGATTTCCAAATCCAGCCAGGGCGACAAAACGCCCATGCGGTGAAAAAGAGATCGTATTTCGTGAACCTGTACCGAAATCAAAAATTGGTTCGCACCTCTCATTAAACATAGTCGCTCTTGCCGGCATAAACCCGTAAATGATGATGAACTCCATTCCCGTGGGACTCCACGCCGCGTCGTATGTGGGCCCCTCTTGCGGCAGGTCGACCCTCTGATCGACAACGCCCAAATTATCCATGAAGTAGACCTCGCTCTCGCCGTAGTAGCTCTTGCCCGACGTGTCGATGTTTGTGCTGATCAAAGACAAGACAGCCGTGCCTTTCGAGTTCCATTTGAATGTCACCGAGTCCGCACGGAAGGTAGAGCGCTGCGCCAGTTGCTCACCGCCTTCATTCGGATGCTTGTAGGTCGCAATCCTACCCGGGGCGCCTTTCGTGCCAGGGATGAACGCGGCTATGGTGTACGGCGCCGCCCCGTGGCTGAGAGCGAACTTGGAAATGCCCGGAATGCCCAGCTTTGCGCAGGGCGGCTCGCCGAGCTTATCTCCCTCGAAGAAGTGGATGGTGTTGGTGACCGATCTCGCAGCAATCGCTTCGTCATCGCTCCACTGAATGCTGGGCCAAACTCCAATATGAAAGAGCTTCTGATGGAAAGCGGCGACTCTCTCTCCGGACCGGACCTGATAAACGACGAGATTAGGCACGGACACACCGATGACGGGGCGCGACCAGGTGAGCAAGTACGAGCCGAGCGGAGAAAAAGTTGCAAAGTTGATTTTGAGCGGGGTGTGCGGATCGTTGAGTCCGCCACACGAGGCGATCTGTTCGCCAGTCGTGGCGTCGCGGATGACGGCGGCGAGGTGTGCTCCTTCGATGGAGACAAAGACGTCGCCGGTGGGGGAGAAGTCAGCCTCGCGGGCTTCAGGCAGCGACTCGCCCTGACCCTCGGTGCCCACGGTGTATGGGAACGGGGTTACGTAGGCGCGGCTCTTCTCGCGGACGAGGAGGCCCAGCGCGGGGGGTGCGGCTGGCTTGGGGGACATGGTGTTCGTGCGGATACGGGTGCGGGTGCAGGAAGGCGAGGCGGGATGGAGAGTGTCGGAAGGCGTTCAGGGGGTGGGTCAAGTTGTCGGGGTGAATGAGGATTTCATGCTCCTGTGGTGGATTGCTCGAGGTATTGCATATCTGTCAAGGAGGGACAAGGAGCACCTTGCCGCGGACGTCTCGAAGGACGGGTCGGTAAGTATGGGCGTGAGGCACGAGGGCTTGTCCGGCGAAGGAGGAGGGCAGCGCACTGTAGAAGAGCTTTGAGGGGCAACGGACGGTGGGTGACGGCGGCGGGAGAGCGACGGATGAGTGCCAGCGTGCCAGCAGCGTGCAGAAATAATTACGGGACATGTTCCACGTAAGGAAGTACTCTACAGCGATCGAAGTTAGTTTTCTGTGCGGGTTAATTGGCTAAATAAAACATTACAGTGTAGGATGTACAGTTGTCAGATATTCAGGTAGATCTCAGGGTCCGCGAAACTTTGCAAATCGCTCGTCCACCGCCATCGCCCCCAACGGTACCTGGCCGCTTCCGTGCACCAGGCAAAGGTCACAGACGCCCCCTTTGCTGTATCTCACTCCCTTTTCTTTTTCTCCCGCCCCCCTCCCCCCCCCCCCTCCCCAACCTCCTGTTCGCCGCCCCTCCAGCACCGTCTCCCTTTCCGACAGACCTCCCGCGTACCCCCGCCGCATGGACTGGCTCCCCCGATGGAAGAAGCAGAAGACTATTTCGGGGACATCTCCGTCCCCCTCGACGAGACAAACGAAGACGCCGCCAACGACCTGACGTTCGGGGACATAGGCGATATTAAGGCCGGCGACGATTCTGATGCAGCCTGGAAATCTGACCACGTCTCGCTCTCCGAACGCATCCAAGCGGAAAAGGAGGCCCTCCGCCACAAAGCCGCCACCCCGGACAGGCAACCCGCCCCCGACAAACAGTTTCCCCCTTTCGTATTTCCCAGCTTAAATCTCCTCGCAGAAGAGCCCAGGCCACCGCAACCGCTGCCAGAAAACCCCCGAGTAGCATGGAACCAGCTCCAGCATGACCTCAACCGCTCCAACGAGCAACCTGTACAGTCTCATCTGTCCGCACAGCGAATATCGCAACTGCTGCAGCCTGGCCCGCCACCTCCGCAAGTACCCCGCCAAGTACCGATGCACATGCACCCCTCGCTCCAACCCCTGCAGCAGCAGCAGCCTCTCCAATCCCATATGCCGTTACGACCAGGTCTCACCCCGCTAGCTGGCCATCGGCCCCAAATACCAGCCCGCAGCCAAGCTGCCATCCAAGACTACCAGCGCCGTCTCATGACCCACCAGGATCAGCAGACCCGCTTGTTATTGCGACAACACCAGGAGACGGCGGACAAGCAACTGCAGGAAGCGCAGCGCGCCCAGCAAGCGGGCATTACATTTGATCGCAAGGAATTCGATCGCCACCAAGAGGGCACGCGCCAAAGGATCCTTCTCGATCATCATAGCAGGCTTAGGCATTCGCAGATGCTGGTGTGGCAAATGACGCAGCAGGTGATTCAGCAAAGCGCCGAGAGACCCATCGAGCAGACGCCGGTACTCGATTTGCGCCGGAGAGTTGATCCGGCATCCCCGCCTCATGCTGGTTACGCCCGCAGCCCTGTCGACTCCTTTTTTCCGGCTATGGCCTCGCTTGGCGAGCCAGCTGTTAATGCCTCGATGCGCCCGAATGGCAGAGACCAGGCTCGTGGGTCTGCACACGTTGAGGGACAACAATCTTCTATTATCAGTGCGCCGAGGATGCCCAAGCTGTCAGATGAGGAGCTGCAGAAAGCCCCCAGGCTTCAGGAGATCGAAAGGCAAATGGCGGCGGCTGGGCTAGGCCCAAATTCGAAGAACACCGACCGAGATACATTTGGTAGTCCAGTGCGACGTACAGAAAGGTCTCCACAAGCTCAAGTGAAGAAGACGTCTCAGCGACGGCTCGAGTCCATGACGGATAGAGACCAAGAGTGGGTCTTCCGCGCGCACTTGCGGCAGATCGAGACCTCTGTAGTTTACAAGGATGACTACTACAATTCCGTCTTAACGAAGAAACTCAGGGAGAGTAATCCGGATATCTATGCTGATCTCGCAGAGCGAGTACAAGCGTTGCGGGTCCGTGATAAGGAGCGAGGCGCGTATGGGAACTCAATGCGGATACGTGGATCAAAACGAGGCAACGCTGGGAAAGACGACAGCCAGCTAGCGTCATCTGCGCATCATTCTGACCAAAATACGCGGGCACTTGCGAACGCTTTGGGGACGGTCCAGTCATGGCATCCGAGAGCTCCCCGCCGTGTCATGGACTTTGGCTTGCTTGAGAAACGAGACACTGCCGACGGGCTGCCGCAAAAATCACTGCGAGACGACGAACGTGTGCATGTGCGGCAAGAAATCGAAAGAGGCTACGACATTATTGCAACGATCCATGACATTGCTCGGGGAGAGAGCCATAAGTCTTTAGGACCCACGATTCAAACGCTAATGTCGACCTTGCACCTTGCGGAGAAGATGGGAGACGAAGACCGAGGAGAGAGAGATGGAGTCAGAAGCACAAGATTTTTCGCAACAATGTGCGTTATTGAGAAAGGGCGTCGATATCTCTCTCATGTTCTTGAACTAGTGGAAGATGGTGACAAAGTTCGGGCGATGTGTGCGATTTTCGAGAACCTCGGCATGCTCGTGTTTGCTTCTCGAAAATCTAGTGGCAAGGCTACGATCGGCGGATCGCAGAAGGGCCTCTTCGCTATCATGATGAAAATCGTACAAGACCCGGATATTCGGGCACAAGATTGTCTTGCAATTTTCAACTCGTTCAGTACATCGCATGTCCCGCACCGGGACGCGTTTCTGACTACTTTTCGTAGTGGCGTAGGTGCAAAAATAGTGTTTTTATGTATGCAACGAATTTCTGCAGGGTTAGCGATGCACGTGATCGGGGAGGAGGATATATCTGCAAGCGGTATCGATGGATTTACACAGGGCTTCACGGAGGCGCTTCCGGATGTCTTCAAAGGGGCAGAATCGGAGAGTCGAGTGTGGGAGGCAATGGCTAGCTTAGACGCGCTGTCCCGGGGCGACACGCGCGCTACGTATCGGTCCGAGTTGCACCGTCTCATGCTCGCAGGAACCGTACCCAATCCACCACCCTCATGAGAACTGGAAGCGGATAGCAATCTCTGAACTAAAACCTGATGAGCTTTTACGAGTTGTTTGTACAATTGATTTAGAACCCCTATTCAAGAAAAAATCACGAGAAGAGCGATTCATCGCCAACAGCAACAGCTTCTGACGGTGCAGAAGAGGGACCCGCCCCTGGGGTTTCCTCACCACCAAACAACGACGCATCACCCGGCGTAACTTCCTCACCATCTCCCTCCGTGTCCTCTGCGTTAACATCACTATCGTCACCTATATAGTCACTAATAGGCTTCAACTTTTCATCAACCGCGTTCTCATCATCAACAAACAGGCCGGAATGAGCCTCGAACAACTCCTTTCCCGTCAGCCCCTGCCCCCTAGACCTCTCTGCCTTGGACATCTTCTTGTACGCCGCGGCCCTCTCCGCCTCCACCTTGACCTGATTCTCCTTGTTCTTCTCCGCCCTCCACTTCATGAAGCGTTCCAACGTGACGGGGGTCTTTGTCTTGAGCTTAACCCTCTCCTCCTCGATCTGATCCTCGACTGGCAAGTTGGCGATGCGAATCCTCTCCGCCTCCTCCTCCTCCTCGATGCGCTTCCGCTCCGCCTCCGCGGCCGACATCTTCTTGGGCTTGTCTTGGACGGGCTGGTTCATGAGCTCGAGCTCAGCCAAACGGGCCTGCATCTGGGCCATGCGCGCCGCGGACGCGGCCGAGCCGCTTCCACTGGCGCCGCCCTTCCGGCGCGGGCCGTCGACTTTTTGGCTGGCCTGCTTCTTGACCGTCTCGACATACTGCTGGACCTTTTTGCTCTTCTTCTTGTTCTTTAGGCCAAAGGTCTTGTCCTCAACGATCTTCTTCTTCTGCTCTTCGGCCTTCTTCTTCTTGGGCGGCATGGCGGCGGTGGCACGGCGGCGTGACAGGTGGCGCGGAAGAGTTGCGGCGCGGTGGCACGTGAGGGCAGCGTAGAAGCACGAGACGAAGAAGCGGGCGGTGAAACCGCTGGGAGAGCGGGGGCGGTGGGCGAAGGGTGGGTCGCGACCGCAGGTGGAAGAGGGTTGTGAGGGGTAGGATGCAGGGAAGGCGGTGAGATGCAGTGCGGTACACGGGCAAACAGGTGCGATGGGCGTCTTGTGTGGGACACGACAGCAAAACACAGCTCACTGTTCATTCAGTTCAGCATGCGATGGAGCGAAAGGTGCAGACTTTTTCGATTGGGCAGGCGAAAAGCGGTTTATTTTTGGAAACTTGTGAAACATTTTTCAAAAGGGGAATACTGTAGCCCAACCTCAATTACACCTCATCGACAAAGAAGCATTTGATTTGCAGAAACGTAATTTCCTGACGAGATGGAACTACGCTTCCCTGCCATTGGCCACCTCGTAATCCAACGGCAGGCCAACGCATTCTCCCCAATTGTAGCCCGCCAGCAATGCAATGGGCTTCGTTTAATTTAATGCGTCGCCCAGCCGCCACGCCTGACCAATTACAGCCCTTCCCTCCAACTTTCGAATCCACTCAAATGGGCCCCCCGCCGTCTAGAGCCCACCCCTGAATTGCCACCCCTCATCTCAGCTTGAAACGCCGGCAGCCCCCGTCCAGCTCAACCCTTTTCTGCTCCATCCTTCCTTTAATACCCTCCCCCCCTTTGACGTCCCACAACTTTCTCAACCCCTTCCCCCCCTGACCTTTCCGCGATCCCCATTCCGATCCCCCCACTATGCCCCCCCGACGAAAGGCTCCAACGAAGACCGCTCGGGCGAAAGCGCCGGCGCCTGCGGTCACAAAGCGCACCGCGGCCACACCTGCCGATCCCGCGCCGTCAAAAACGCTCAAGCGCAAGTCACCCGACGCTCCACACACTCCCCCCAAGCAGGCGAAGGTGGCTAAGCCCTCCGCCGCGCGCAAGCGCGCCCATCTGCGCCCCTTGTATGACGAAACCTGGCGTGCCGTCTACTTGGCGGGCACGGAGTGGGACCAGCTGCAGCTGGTATATTCGATTGACTGGGACTTTGACCATCTAGACGAGGCCCTCACGGACGGCGATCTCGAGGGGAAGAAGGTCTATCTGTTTGGCGCCACGGAGCCGCAGCTGCTCATGAGGGATGAGAAGGATACTAGGGGCGACGTCATCCCAGTGCCGGTCATTGTCGCCGTCGTATCCGACGTCGCCCCACCTAGTACTGTTGGCGTGAAGAGTGTGCAGAGGGCGGAGGAGGAGATCCTGCCCATGAGCGAGATGCGCATGGGCTGGCATGCCTTCGCGCCAGAAAACGTACAGCTTTCAAGACGCTTCAAGCCGAATGTCCATGTGCTCAAATGTAATGAAAGAAAGGCCAGGCTGAGGAACATGCAAGAGGCGGCCGTGCACAAGTATGACTACGTCTTGCCATACTTTATAAAGCCAGAGGAGGTGGAGGATATCACCGTTGATACTGTCGTCCAGGTACTTGCCGAACTCGACGGGAGGAAAGCCCCCTTGATGTGTGAGTATGATTACGAGCTCGATGAGATCGATGAGTTTGTCGAGGAGACAGTGAAGGAGAACGGGCTGGATGCGGACAAGCACTCGGCCCCGCTTAAGAAGGCTATCAAGGTGGCGGAGAAGGCTACAAAGCTCAAATATAAGGCCGAGAGGGAGGCGCGTCGAAAACGGATTGCGGATATTCCCCAGGAGTCGCGCGACGCCATTAAGAATATGAAGCTGCTCAAATTTTACCCGCAGAACGAGTGGCCAGATGTGTCCAAGATTAAGGCACCGTTTATAAATCGGTACTACGGCCGTGCAACGCAGGTTTTGTAGTGTTTGCTGGGGACTTTGCTTGTCTGCTGAAGAATTAAGTTTTGAAGATGCCCTTCATAGGCATGCGTAGCACTAGCACTAACTCGTCCCGCGCTACGAGATGCGTGCGGATTCATGTATATCTAGAACGAATCATTCCTTGTAGGTTAGCAATCAATGCCCTCTCACGTCGACTTGACAGCCCGTCAACAAAGTGACTACACGACTCTATTGCTTTTCACCTTGCATCCGCGCTCGTCTTAACCTGTCTCTCTCGTAGATCGCTTGTCGTGACTCCTCCTCTTCCTGCTCTGCCGTTTTTTCAGCCAGCATGGTCTCAGGTTGAGTTTTTTGGTACGCTCCCGTAAACTTCGGATCTTGCTTCGCAACGTCAGCGTAACGTAAAATCGCTTCGCGTGGATCAAGTGCCCAGTCTTGCTCGACTTGTCCAGAGGCAATGTGCTTGGCAAGACTCGTAGATTTATCACCAGGTGTCGGCCGGAGACCAGAATACGGCTTCGGTTTCATAGCTTCAGACGCTTCTCGGCGACCACGGGCTGTCATGGGCCGATTCTTTTGTCCCTCCCTTGCTGCCTTGCTTCCCCTTGCTGATTTCTGGTCGTGTAACGTCGATGGTGTGAATATTTCCCCCACTCCGAGGTTTACCACTCCGTGCTTCTTGCGGAAATCGCTCTTCATTAGGCAACTCAAAACGCCCTTCTTGCTCTCAGATGGATGATAAAGAACTCTCACTTTGCCGTCTGCCGCCCCGTAGAAGATTTGGTTCAGCTTGTCGTGCCACAAACCGTGCACAACACTTCCAGTCTCCTCTTCGGTTTCTGACTTCCAAACTTCCGTCATCTTCTTGGCTTCAAACATCCGCACGCTTCCACGAAGTCCACCCCCTTTCCTCTTTGCACTTGTCCCAGTCAGAAAGTGCTCCCCGGTATCCCCAGCGAACCAGGCGTTTGTTTCGGAGACAACGTTAGGTAAGTCGTAGAACGCTTTTACTGGACGGGTCAACATTCTCCTGTCAAAGACTCGTAAACAGTCATCTGTGCTTCTCACCAATATTAAAGGCACTGCACTCGTTTCTGGGGATATGCTGACCGAAGTGATTTCTGCACCCTGCTGAATCACAACCTCAGATTCTGCCTCAGGCTGCAATGAGTAGATATCTGGGTTGATGATTTTGATTCTTCCGTCATTACATCCTAGTATGCAAAACTTTCCATTGGCATCCCAGTCCAGTGCAGTGGCTACAGCCTTTCCACCTCTTGCGTTTCGCAGTTTCGTGACTCGAACCTGAGAAATGACCGGATTGTCAACCATTGGACTTCTCTCTGTCCTTGTGACATCCCAAAGCCGAACAGTTGCATCTGCAGATGTACTGGCGACAACCTTGCTGTTCGGCCGCCACTTCGCCGATAATATGGCCCCAGTATGTCCCTTGGTTCGTGTCATATCTACTATGTACATATCGCCTTTCGCTGTTTGCGACAAAGTCACACCATCACGGTTCATTACAATGGCTGAGGTCGATCCCCCAGAACACAACAGTAGGCCTCCCGTTGCAGAGTATTGCAGGTTGCGAATTGGAGAGTTTCCAAGGGGGTTCACAGTTCTAAATGATCGTAATGCACGGTTCATGGAATTGAAGTCGTAGAAAAATACCGTCGAGTCTATTGAGCCGGATACAAGTCGATTTCCAGCTCTATCCATAGACGTAGTAGATACGTAAGAGCTATGACTTTCACCGAGAATAGCCTCGTTGTGCACGGGGAGATTTTCGGTCTGAGCCACTTCCTGTTCATGTGGCTCTGCAACGCCAGGTAGGGCGGGTCCAATTGGTGCATCACCAGAGCTATCTGATCCATCTTCAGAATCTGACTCCTCATCACTTGAATCGTCAATGATCTTTGGATCAATAACCCGTCCACTGCGAATCTTGCGGTCCGAGATTTTTCTTCTGATTGGAATGACTTCTTCCGTTTTTGCATGCAACGACAGTTCCTTCTGAACATCAAGTTTTGCAGTGAAAGTTCCCAGCTTGTCTGAAGAAGAGCCTTCACCCACAAAAGATATCACCTTTTCAGATGAAATTCTATCGATCTCATCCCCGTTGTTTTCCTCCAACTGCCTACCGACTGCCATCGGTTTTGGACTTTCACTCGCATCTGGTGAAGCGCAGCGTTGGCGCTTTCTTCCTTCCGCGTATTTCCTGTATGTGGAGCTCTCTCGGAGCTGTTTCAACTCTTGCTCTTCTGAGAGAAACGCGCGCTCTTCGTCAATGACATGCTCTGTCGGACGTCCGTCTTTGGAGTCGTTGGCCTTGTCTGCTTGGATGCTCTCAAGTCCTCGCTGCTGTTTCTCTCTTCTTTCATCTTCAGAATTTCCGTCATCTGCGAAGAAAGATGACATAGCATGTAGGCCGAAGTGAAACTCGTTTCGCAACTGTGCGATCGCACCTCGCCATCCCCTTGAGCTCTACCAATGTGTGAGGGCACAACTACAATGCACTTTGTCGTACGAGAGGGCAATTCCACATGTCACGAATAGGCCGCTTTGTAGCGCCATAAAATTGTTTGATTTATGATTTTGAAAGGCTCCATGCCGACCAACGGTATAGTGCTGAACGTGTGTATCCATGACGTACCACACTGACACAGTGTTCTGCAATTCCGTAACCCCAGAGGGCTTCTTCATGGTCTGGGGCCTACAACAGAGTATAAGAGCGTCACCCCAACGCGCGCATCTATCGTCTGCACTTCGCCACAAATGCTACGCGCTCCATGCGGAGGAGTAAACACGTTATTACAACTTGAAGAAGAAGGCTGGTCCGTACCAGCACAGAAAATGCGAGACTAAAATAGCCCTTCCTTTTTTGAAGCAGTTCACTTCCGTTGCCCCCCCCCCCCCCCCCCCACATCTTCGCAAACATGGTATGGAGGAAAACCGTGCGCCGCACATGAGATGTATGTACATGCATGGTCTGCTGAATCCCATGCTCGATTTCTAAGCGCCAGGGAAATCACGGAACCAGTCCTCTGGTGCCAAAATCTTGTCACGATCGTCTCGGACAACACGGATAGAGGAGTTGAGGACTGTATCGATATCTCCATAATGAAAGCGAGCACAGAACCTTATTTCCTGGAACAGCATATCTTTCCAATACAAGAAATCCTGCCACATATCCTGCATGTTCCCGTCACAAACAAACAAAAAAGGAAGTCGACCCAGCTCTCAGTCAGTTTCAACAATCTAGTAAGATCACGTAGTAAGCTAAACCCTTGATAGTGCCGGTGGGCATACCTGACATGGGACGCTTGCCTGCAAATACCACTCCGCTTTTCCCTGGAATTCACTGCAAAGCACTTTTACCTCGGTGAGCGAAAAGGTCTGGTAGACATGAACCTCCAAAAAGTAGTTTGGCATGTAATCGAAAGTGAATAGGAGCAGGCCAATCTTTTCGACCTGATCCTTTTGTAAGGCGATGCCTGTTTCTTCTTCCAATTCACGTAAAGCACCTTCATGAATTGTTTCCCCGGGTTCGACTTTTCCCCCGAAACCCATCCACTTACCAATCCCGAATCCGTGCGCTTTCTTCGCGAGCAGTACAGAATTTGTATTCCGGTTTCGTGCAAGGACTGTGCACGTAGAAGCGTAACCATGGTCAGCAATGCGCAAGCACGGGACGATATGTATGAAAATTCATTTGCAATGCGTACTCAGTGTGCATTGGACAGGTCTCGTCAAGTTCTCCGCCATCACGACGCGGATCCTGTGATTTTTCACCTACTTCATTCCGCTAAGGCTGCGATGAGTCGACTATCTCAATGATTTCAGTAGATCTGCTCTTTTCCTTCCGATTCATTGTGACTGTCTGGTGTAGCGCCGCCCTACATTGCTGGATAGATTTTTAGTGCGCCATGATTGGCCAAAAAATGAGCAATCACCCCGATAAACGCTGTAGCATATCGTTTCCTTTTTGGCGGGAAGTCACGACAGCCTCTGCCGCTATGCATCCGTATGAGCAGCAGCAAAACCACTCAAGCTAGACCGCACACCAAGCTTCTGTTGCGTTCACGCTATTGAGGATTGAGGTCATCTCGTATCGATCGTACCAGCGTCTTCCTGGCCTCTACCGAGCAAAACAGTTTGACATTAGCATACGGCGAACAATCGTCAACAGCTGCAGTTCTGTTCCTCGTTTCCCTTTTGTGCGCTTCGAAGGTTGCAAGATGGGCAGCACAAACAATGATGATCAACCGCGCTTCTCGTTTGGTTCAATGGCCCTAACGGAGGAGCCAGGACGTGGACCACTCGCCATTGACTCACATCTTTCCCACTTGGACCCCGACCAGCTTGGTGGACAACTTAACGAAACACTCGACAAGCTACGGACAGTGGCCGTCAACGAGTATTTCTGCCCCGAAATATTGCCATTTGAAACTGAGACTATTCAGGCAATGAGCTCTGAAGTCAAGCAACAAACGGAACTCGTGGAGGAAGAGGAAGACGAAAGCGTCGACGCCCTTTCCTTCGAATCACAATTAAAACGCATGGAGATCGACAGAATTAACTACCTGCTGCGACACTACTATCGCATGCGTATCAAGAAGATTGAGGGCTCCGTGCTCTTTATTTTCAAGGACTTGAACACGTTTGAGCTTCTTTCCAAACATGAGCAGAACTTTGCCACTGGCTACATGGATCTTGTCGAGGAGCATTTCAAGAAATCTTTTCTCTCAATGCTACCAAAGAAAGTTCAAGTGTTGGATAAGGATGGCAATGTTGACCACGCAACAGGTCCAAACTTGCACAAGTTTGTATTCTGTAAGGTGAAGAATTCCGTTGGCAGTTACGCTGTCGGTGAGGAAGCTGGTGACGAAACCTTGGATCTGAATCAGGGTGATATCTTATGTATTCGGTACAAGAGCATTCAACAACTGCTTATGAAAGGAGATGTAGATTTGATCTAAGGGGAGGCACCCGTTTCATGTGCTCATCTGCGTATCGTGCATGGACTCTTTGCTCCCCATGTACTTCGAATGACGGGCTAAAACATTTGAAACCAGCAGCGATTCGATGTGTGTGCATGCTTTGTCACGTACTATTGAATCTGACTTGGAGCGAGATGTCACTGTGACTCGATCATATCGAGAATGAAGCAAGTTGCCAACTACAGCATCGACGTTGTACTTCTCAAGGGCTCCGTAGACTTTCTTCTCAAGCAAAGCTTCATCCGTTTCAAGCTACATTATCATAAGGTTCCCGATACCACAAACACATCTTACGTCAGTTGCGGATGCTTGACACACATGCAGAAACAAGCGGGAATGGAAGGCGTTGCATTTGAGAAAAACGTACTTTGAATGAAACAACAAAAGCGTCGGGTACCCAAACCTGTGATATTACGCCTAGCAGTTTTGGCACCTTCTGCAGTTCTAAGATCAAATTGCCAGAACCAGATTGAATTTTATGCGTGGGCAAGTCTGCGTAGGGGACATGAAAATCTGACACAGCAGCTGCCAAGAAAAGAAGCGCAGATTTTCCAAATCTTTGGATAGAAGTCGAGAGCGAACGAAGAGTTACTAAGTAGTCTTTGAGGGAAACAAAAGGGATGGAAAAAAGGCGATCCTTGACGGAAAGAAGCTCCCGCAGGGCGATCCCCGTCTTCTCATGACTTAGAACAACTTTTCCATCTTCACCCACGTCACAAGTCTCAACAAGCTTGTCGAGGTCGAGTTGCCTTGTAAAAGGCCGCACCGATCCTTTCCTGTGAAGAAAAATGATAGCATATTGACCCCCTGGCGCTGTGTGACGCAAGAAGAACTCAGTGGAAATTGCACCTCGAGTCCCTGTGCTGAAGTTATCAATGAAGCGTACGCAAGACCTTTCCAAAGGTGCAGTGGTCCCTCCCGACGTTACCAAAACAAGCCCAAGGTTACGACGAAGGGCAGACCCTACGAAATCCTGAAGTTTTGCTTGGTCATAGAGAAGATGAGAGTTGAGAGACGACTGAAACTCTTTCTCGCTGAAAGCATTGTCGGACGCAATGAAGGAATCGAATATGAGTTTGTCTGCGGCTTCCATTGGGATATCTGTCACGAGCTTCTCGGTGTGGGTCGTTCAGATGTGAAGGGGAAGACATGATTTTTTCGTATTTTGTATAAATTACTTTCTCAATCACCCTAATGATGTCGCAATCAAAGAAGCTAATCTGGTCAGGGGATTGATTACCACTCATGTCTGAGTGGTAAACCATTGATGAATTAGTGAGCAAGTGGATGAATCACTCATGAGAGCGCGGGAAAAAGCATATCGCCAAAGACTCTTACAAAGAGCCTTCACGAGCCACAAAATAGCCACCGTAAAGCGCTTCAGAAACTAAAGTGAATGAACTACCTCGCAATCTAAGCATAGCAATCTGTTCGGATGTCTGACGTTTGTCCCCTAGAACTGTGTCGATATGGCCGCAAGTGATATGCGTATCATTGCCAGAGGAAACCTGTTTGAATTGGTCGGTCATTCTGACGTTCTGTGAGTTTCTCTAAAGCTCGAAAGATGCATTAGTTATTTCGCGTCTTTGTTTTCGCAAATAATACAAAACAAAAGGAAACATGGGTACGGAAGGGACATCGACAGTATGATGCTTAGCGTCTGCTGCCAACCAAATGCCGCGCCCCATCTACGCACCTCGCTACATCTGCTCCGGTTCGCAATGCACCTGGCGGGTCTTGTGAGCTCAGCGAAGGTTGCAGAGGCCTCATTTCGCGCCAAGCGCTAAAGGAGCGAGCTGCATGAAAGCCCCGAAGACATACAAGACATACTCTTAAGAGAGCGGAGTTCATATTTTCGAATTGCCACACTTAAAATTAAGAGCCGCACAGCGAACATGTTGGTATGTATGGCAATTCAGCTCTCACATATCACCTCTTCCCTTTCCTTCGCAGAGCCGAGACGACCGCAAACTCAGACTCGCACCAGCCCGGGAAGTCGCGGACGAGATCAATGCGCGCCGCCTTTGCCTGCGGGCAATTAAAAACGACAAAGCGAACGATGGAATGGAGCAACTGCTTCTTCGTGATCTTCCTGCGGACCCACTCGGCCCACTCCATTTTGATATGCGAATTTAATTTGGCAGCAACATCCGCCCGTTGGAGGCTCGCCCTCATGATGCTAAAGATAACGCGCTTGACGTAGCGCACGAAATGGGCGACGACAAACTGCTCGTACGTGATCTCCGTCGTGCGCAGCTTGCGCTGCATTGGTTTCGACTTGGCGATGGCGCTAGCCGGCGGCGCGCGCACGATGCGCAGGGTGCCCGCGGGGGTTGTTTCCTTGAGGAGATCCTTGGGGTCGAAGAGCTGCACGCCGTGGACATGACCTGGGAGGGGGGGTTGCTTCGGCGGCGCGGTGCCGTCGTGGATGACGGTGGCCATGGCGAGAGGGATGCTTTCTCGGCGCAGAACTTGAAACGCGGCGCAGGGCTGACAGAGCTAGAAGGGGAAACGCTCTTCGATTCAGGCTAGAGTCGCCGCGCCGGGCTGCACAAACCTCTGACGCGTGATTGTGACCGACTACACGGGACAAGAGCGACGCCTTGCAGGAGCCCCCCGTGAAGATGAAGACGCCGGAGCCCGGTTGGTGTCATTGCTGGACAGCAGGCGGAGAAACATGAGACTCGATGGTCAATTTTTTCGCAGGAGAATACTCAATTACTGGACTTCATTATCGTTCGATGTGCTCCCCAAAGGAGTTCACTCTGTACACAATACACAAGAATGATCCCTGCGTCTCAAATTCTTGGACAGAGCACACAATTTGGTCGCGGGTCGTCTGTCCTTCCAACAAGTTCCAGTCTTAGCGCATTATCCTATACACGGAGACTATAGACGCACACTATTTCTCAGAGCATGTTCGTACACAGAGAAGCTGTCCCCGATCATCGTCTTGGCAATGCGGGCATTTATCTATTTTTTACATAGAAAACGTTCCTTGCGTATGCTGCTAGAGTCTCCTTGAAATCAGAGGCGAGAAGTTTTTGCACGCTTCCATGGTGAGGTGAAGCCAACATTCCTACATGATCTCATATCTACACGTGTGAGATCTTCTGTGGGTACACGTGTAGCTCCGTTAACCTCTTCGCCGGTACCTACAGTGCAATGGGCACAAGATTTCGGCCCACGAAGGATAAGTGCTCTTTCTCGATGATCCGCCATGCTCGCTGTCTTTCGACACCTCAACCGAAACGTTCAACATGGGAAACCTCTTATCCCAAACGCAGCCAACCCCTCCTCTCCATGCACCTGACACGCCCGACGCGTCCTCCGCCGGCAAGCGCAAACGTACGCCCTCGCCGACTTCTCCCGCGTCTAATGCGAGCGACATCAAGCCCCTATCCGGCATAGACGCCACGCCCGACGGCGACGTCCACCGCTTCATAGTGCGCTGCCCGTCCATCTTCTGGTGCACACGAAAGGACATCGCGCGCGCGCTTGCTAAGATCCCACGTATGCCCCCCTACGGAGGCCTGCACAAGATCACGCGCTGGGACCACTTCTTCATCACCTTTCCGAACAAAGCCTGCGCGGAGCAGGGAGTGCGCTGCCTCAATGCGTACAAGTACAGAGGGAAGCCCTGGGAGGCGAGCGCGGCCGCAGAGCACTCCTCGAAGCGCAGGCGCATCGACAACACCGTACGAGAGTCGCGCACTTCTGGCTCGGGGCCCATGGATGACGGCGTTTGTAAGACGGCTGCCATGGTCACCGCTAAATGGAGGGACGTTGCGTATGAGGAGCAGCTGAAGAGGAAGACGCGTAAATGGACAAACGCCCTCAGTCTCGTTACCAAGGAGATGAGGAAAGAGTTGCGAGGCAAGCGCCTACTGCCATGGCTGGATGACGTCATTAGCAAGCGCGAGGGTAAGGGGCATCCCGCCTGCTGTTCACTCGTCCAAATTGTGGGCGCTGAGTCGGAGCGTGGGAGGATGTACTACAGAAACAAGAACGAGTTTACTGTCGGTGTTTCTCCGGACGCTTGTGGCATGGGGCATGATTATCACAAGTCAACGTTGACGATTGGCTACGCTTTGGGGCTTGTACGTGATGGACAGGTGTTTATTGGGAGGGTTGATGAAGACTGTGTGACGACGAGCAAAACGGCGCGTGAAATTGCACAATGCCTTGCCCCCGCCATTGAAAAGCTTGGACTACAACCATACGACAAACGCGCACATGAAGGGTATTGGCGACAGGTCACTTGCCGGGAAGGAACCAGAACGGGACAGGTTCTAGTTTCGGTTGTCGTAAATCCAAGTGCATTGGAGGAGAATGGAGCGCCGGGAGATGGTACTCGCATATCTGACGAAGACTGTCAAAAGACGGTCATAGGGGCTCTTCGACAACATTTTGGAATGGACAAGGAACTCGGAATATTTTGGCAACCCTCCTCTGACCGGTCTGCTGTCGGTGGAGACATACCCGCAATTCATCTCCACGGCATCAGCAGCCTGCACGAGGAAATGTGTGGGCTGAAATTCCGTATTCAACCGACGGCGTTCTTTCAAGTGAATACTTTTATGGCGGAACGGCTGTATAACCTCATTGGCGACCTTGCAGAAGTGGACAAGGAGACGGTCGTTTTTGACGTTTGTTGTGGGACGGGAACCATAGGGCTGTCCCTGGCACGAAGGGCGCACAGTGTGGTGGGAATTGAAATGAACGAGTCAGCTGTGGCAGATGCACAGCACAATGCAAAACTGAACGGCATCGATAATGCAACGTTTATTGCCGGAAAGGTTGAAAACAGAATATACGATGCAATCCAACAGCTCGATGGCAATCGCGAATGTGTCGTGATTCTAGACCCGCCCCGAGCCGGTCTTCCGATGAACGTTGTGTCAGCCGTCAGAGCGATGGGAGCTGTGCGACGAATTGTATATGTCGCATGCGAACCAAACAACTTTTGGAGAAATGCTCTTGGATTTTGCAGGCCGAGATCAAAAGCTTTTCGCCTTGAACCGTTCCGCCCAGTCAAGGCTTACGGCCTAGATCTTTTTCCGCATACTGACCATGGCGAGCTTGTTGTGCTTCTTGAGCGCGATCTCGTCAAAGAGGAGAAGTAAGGTGTTTCTCTTCAATGCCATGAGTCCTATGTTGGAATGCCTTTGCCAAAACGGCACAACGCATTTGTGGAAGAGCCATGAAGGTCAGTGATACGCATAAACCTCTCCCCGTCATTCGATGTTTACGGCAAAGCATCATATCGCTTTGCTGAAAGGCCGGAGCTAGTATGGCCAAACAACGAAATGCAAATAACTGTTCAACGCCACGAAGTCTACCGAACGGCGGCTTCCGCGTCCTATTATATGATACTTTCTACAACAGCGAACTACCCTAAAATTCATCTAGCTCAATATCTCATGGAGTCGCGGTGACTGGACGCGAAAGAGCCGCCAGCATAGGATCCCTCCGTCGTGCCACTTGCACCGCTTCGGACCAAGCCCATTCCCTCCCTCTCGCCGAGGGTTGAATACGAGCCTCTCCTCTGTGACCCCCTCATACTTTCTCTCTCCAAAATGTCATCTTCGTTGACTGCTCTTGCCATGGTACCTCGCTGCGGGCCTAGAGAATCGACGTGCGCGCGGAAAGAAGCCGCTCGCGAAGAACCGCGACTATGCCGTTGTGACATGTGACTTCCACGCAGCGAGTGCCTTGCAAGTTCTTCGTCTCGCATCCTCTGATCCAACAGCTCTTCCTCGGTTAGTCTTTCTTTCTCCGCTTGCCTCTCTCGTGCTCTATCCAATTGCCTCGCCTTGTGAAGAGCTTCTTGCATTGCCAAAAGTCGCTCCGACTCCTTGGTGCGCTCCACTCTTGCCCATTCAGTTTGGTTTGTGCCGTCAGACGCGCTATCAGCGCTACTGCTTTCGCTGCCCAGAATGGCGTCGACGCGTGCATCCTCGGAGGACTGGACGGGAGAGGTTTGATCCATGATCTTCAAGTCGGCGTCTGCCAAGACTTGTCCGCCCAGATTGCTGACACTGCTCAAACTTCCCTCGGTGCCATGCACCCGAGACGCTGCAATGCGCTCTTCCAACGCCTCGGCCATAGCCTCAAGCTCACCCGAGTCACCATCGCCTCCCGCTTCCGCCTCCGCCACTGGCACTGCTCCTTCACTCTCGACTGCATCTATGACGGCGTCAGACGCGGCCCAGCGAGATGCCATCTTCAAGACGGCGTCATCCATGGCCATGGCGAAGATGAGATCCATGGTGACATCGCCAAGGTTTGGATCATAGTAGGCGCGAAGCAGTTTCCTGAGGACGCTGCTCCCAAGGGCTCGCATGGCATTCTGGTCGAAAGCGTGATTCGGTGCGGCAGCATGGCAGCGCAAAAAGTGAAAGACGGTGCGCTGTATACTCCTGCACAACCTGCGCGTGAGCACAAAGGCGGACAAATCCGCGGCTGCGCGGGCTTTGGCGAAGCAGTGGTAAGAGTCCCTGACCTCGGGGCCGCCTGCGCAGCGCATGCGGCGGAACATGGTGGCGTAGTGATTCACCGGGAAGCTATGGAAGGGCATGCCGACGGAGGCGGGCATGACGGCGGTGGCCATGCTGGGCGGCTTGACGCCCTTTGCCGCGGCCTTGCACACGGCCTCGACGTAGAGGGTGCGCAGGGCCGTGGCGGTGTGCCTGGAGTTGCAGACGACCTTGACGGCGCGCAGCGCGGCGTCGACCGTGCCGGCGGTGACGCCAGCCTCGCACAGCTCGGCGCGCAGCTCCTCGATGAACGGGGCGCCCACGCTGCGCGGGATGCACACGTGCCCCGGCAGGGCGGCGTCCGCCAGGAAGGCGGAGCATATTGCGGCGAGGCGGTGCCTTGCGGCGGCGCACCGCGCGTGCGTAGGCGTGGCACT